CTGGTTCTGCTCTTTCACTTTCTTGTGCTAATTTTAGCTACTTTTTTTTGCTAATTGTAGCCTTTTTTCCTGCTATTTCAGCTAAAATTATTCTTTCTGCTATTCTTCTGATTTTTTTCTACCTTTTTTCTGCTACTTTGTGCTATTTATGCTTCTTACTGATGCCTTTTCTATATTCAGCTATTTTCTGCAATTTTAGCTCAAGTTCAGCTGTTATTAGCTAAAGTTAGCTGTTTTAAGCTAAATACAGTTTTTGTACCTAATACAACCCATTTCTGCTAAGTTCAGCAAACTTGTGCTCCTTATGCTTCTTTATTTTAATTTTAATTAAAAAAATTCTTGCTACAATTTAGGTGTTTTACTGAAAATTTTGGCTGTTTCAGCCATTTAATTTTATGCTTTTTTTCTGCAATTTTTTAAATTTTTATAGCACTTTCACTATCTGAAGGCTACTTACAACTGGGTGCTACCTTTAGCTTATTTATGCAGATTTTAGCTTTTTTATTCTTTTTCAGCTTTAGATCTGCTTCTTTCTGCTTTCTACTTTGTGTTTTTTTTTCTGCTAATTTGTCCAATTGGCTTTTGGCTGTTTTCTGTTGTTTTCAACTAGATTTGTGCTCCTTTTTACTTTTTTCTACAAACCTAGGCTTTTTTTTGCTTTCAGCTTTTCAAAGTGAGCTCACATGAACAATTTTGCTATTAAATATTTTTAGCTCAATGYCAGTAGCTTAAGTTAGCATGAAACATTCACACTAGCATTTTCGCAGGAAATGCAATTTCTCTAGTTTACTTTACTAGACACTTATCTTACTTTATTACACCTATTTAATATGCCTATTAGATAGATAAATCTGACTAAACAAGTGGCACTGAGGTCTGATTTTGCATGGAAGTCAGCACAATGATTTAAGGTGGGTTCATACAAAATTCACATTTTATTGCAGCTTTTCCTGAAAAACAAGTAAATTTCAGATATTTATTTTATGAAACATTCAACTTTCCTATAATCTGCTTCTAAAATAATCTTTGTCATCATCGCTGCAACATTTCATCACTTAAACTACTCCAAATTTGAGAGAAAACAGTTCTTGAAAAAAGAAACTCAGCGTTGAAGGACTCATTTGTAAAAAACACACAAAGAGTGGTAAAAATGTCTACAAACAGGATGAAGCCTTACTTGTGCAACATAGCAATGGCATCTCTGGTTTTGACTTGATCAAGCCCGAAGGTTAGCGAAAACCGACGGGCCAACTCCTTGATTCCACAGAACGAAGAGGAGGAGCGATCAAACCCGTGACCCAGTTCCGACAGCATTTCATTAAACAACTAAGATGATTTAAAAAAAGAAACGAGAAATTAGATTACAGGACGTTCAGACTCACAACACTTTAATGGGAGTAAACAAGAGGATCCACCAACCTGCTGCAGACTAAGAATGAGCGTCTTGGCACACTGAATCTTGTCAATTTGCCGAGTTTTACTCATCGTCTCCTTGATGATGTCACCATAATCATTGTAATACTGCAAGGAGAGAAAATTACCACAATGAGGAAAAGTTCATTCTTTCTAGAACGGCTGCATGCAGATTTACACATTTCTTTTAAGCATCCGTCCTGACCTGCATCATTTATAGAATAACAAAAAACTTACCCTCATGTACTGTTTGAAGATGTCAGCCCCAGTTTTCATTTCTACAACACAGTAGATGATGAGTTTACAGTAGGCAGCCAGGAGGTTTCTCCTCTTGTGCAGAGCTTCTATTTTTACTGCCTCGTCGTCTTGCTGCCCGTCTGAAATAAGTAAAATAAATAAATAAATAAATAAATGATATTTATAACTTGGTCGCCTTGGCAAATAAAGTGATGAAAATGTCAGTCTGTGTTCGTACCTGTACTATTTGTGTCATCGTCCTGGTCGATGAAGACATGGTTGAGGACGAAGGAGAGCAGCTCAGCCTGTAAAGAGTCCTCTGGGGAATAGACCAAGGGCTCCAAGTGTTCCCTGCCTCCAGACACCATCTGGTGGCTGAAGATGAGCAGGAGATCGCACAGGATGGTGAAAGCCTGGGAGGAAAAAGAAATAAGAGGCACAAAGTGTTCAACAGAACTGAAAGCACACTAGGTCAMTTTGAATTATTGCAAAGCTCTGATTGGCTGAATCTGAAATATTTAACATACTAAATTATTTTTCTCATTTTGGTTCAATTTTAAATTTAACAGGGATCTGTACAGAAACAAGAGGTGCATCTTGTTWATAAGAATATTGTAGATGCTAAATGAGATGACCTTTACTTCAAAACAACAAATGGATATTTATGATAAAATGTATTTTTCTGAGTCACCTGCTCTTTGACGGCCGTGTTGACATTTGTGAGGTAGCGCTGACACATCAAACAGAACGCCCTCATCTGCTTCCTCAGAGTCACCATATCATCCTTWATACAAAAAACACAACCACACCTTTGAACAAAACCCTTTTACTCGTTAATCAGGTGAGCTAAACAGGTTGTAAAACGTCTTCACCTTTTTGGAACTGCCCTCGGACAATTTGGCCAGCTGCCACAGGATCACGTAGTGAGTACACTGCAGTGAATGAATGACTATCTGCTCACAGGACAGGGATTAAAACGGGAAAAATAAGAAGTCTTGAAACAGATTTGTCTTTATAAAAATAACTTCTCAGCTCAAAAAGATGTCAGATTACCTGCTCAGGCATGTCTCCATTTTCTATACCCGTGTTTAGGAGCTTGAAGTTGCTGGTGAAGAGGTCCCATCCTGACAGGTCATGTGCACTGAAACACAGATTATAAACTCAGCCGTTTCAAACACAGAAACACATCATCAAAAGTAGCCAAGTGAGGTTTGTGAGGCTTCTTCCTGATTGTAGATTGAAGATTTGAGCTAAAAACCTTCAACCCTACTCTAGTGCCATCTAGTGGTTGGCTGCTATTACAGCAGCCACAAACATCCTAAAAGTGAAACCACACCAAAGATCCCTCACTTGTGGCTTTTTATATCGACACATCAAAGTTTAATTTTCTTTGCCACGTGATCAGAGATTAAATACAAACACTGACACGGTGCGTTCCAAGTAAGTGTGGTTCAACAGTGACACAGGCCTCGGTGTGAAACAYCTCATCTCTGCTCTAAATGTTGATTAAGAAACTGCAACAAGGAAACATGACGGACAACACAGCAGGCACTTCAGAGGAAATGAGTTCTTACTTATGAAATGCTGTGATCCGCTTCAGAGTGGACAAAACCTGATAAGCATCATCTTCATCAGCATCTTCACCCTGTGAAACAGTCACGTGAATTCATCAAGACTTTTAAATCAAGTGATAAATACTGAATTCTGGCAGAAAATACAAATACACATAAAAAAATGAGTTTCCTGAAAACTACTTGTTGTTTTCAGAAACACTATCGTCATACAGCAAATACTTAAATGATAAACTGTTAATATGAATTTAATGAACGTAATTTTGCATTCATGTGACGAGGGTAAACAARAACAAAAAGACCTTGTGTACTGTGCACACATAATGGTAACAGGTAGTAGGGTTAGCTGGAGAGTAAATGAACTAATTGAAATGGACTATGGAAATGGTATTGCTAACTTTAATCTGTACTGCCACTTTAAAACAGTTCAGCAGAGTAGATGCTGAGTTTGTCCCAGAGTTTAGCCTTAGCCGAGATAGCTTCCTGTAGTAGAACAAGGTTGCAGRAATGCTGCATTTTCACAACTTTTCTCTACTAAACTTTAAAAATATGACTAACAGCTGAAATTATCTAAATATGAAAGTTTGTAGAAATGACTTTGAAACCTTTGATTAGTCTATGAATCTCAGTGACAAAGAGGAAATTAGCATTTATGCTAATTGTCAGTCAGCAGCCTGTGATAAGGTTTTCTGACATGTTATTGTGCACTCTTTAATAGGCATGAAAACGTTTAGTGTCTAYGTAAAATAAGTCAGTCTTTAAAGTTTTTAAATAATTGAAACAATTACATAATGGTTTCATAGTTACATTGCAGCCCTCTGATTAAGGCAGAACGATATGGATAAAATTTAATTTACAATATAACTACAAATTTCAGTCGATACGATATAATTTCGATATCGAAATGAATAATAAAAAATATCAGAAAAACTGCCAAAAACACTGATATTTACTGTACCTACAAACCTAATGTCATTTAAAGATATCTTTAAAATTATAAATAGTCAGAACAAAAAACAAGATATTTCAAATTCACTTTATGACTAGTCATAATTTAAATGTTGATATCTGAAATGTATGTTTAAGATAGTAATTTATTGCAGATATCTTGAAATAGAGCTTTTGTAAAACTTAATGGTGCATCTGACATTTATACTAGTCAGAATGTAATTACAGATATTATGGGTATTTATATAAATGGTATTTTGTCTAGTCAAACTATAATTAGAGATATCTTATTTAACTAATATGGCTAGTCATAAACCAATTTCAGATATCTGGAATGTAAGTGTTCTGAAGTTGATTTTGTGACACAACAGCCTGCCGTACCAGTCTGTGTTTACAGAGTTTGTTTCATTTTGCTCGACAGCTGCTGACGGGAAGATGTTGTTTTATGATGAGGGTTAAAACTTTTCAGGTGCTTCATATTCACACTCAGAACGTTATCAGACGCTGGAACAGATTTGTTGTTTTCCTGCTGCAAGTCGGAGCCAGACTCCGGCACATTTTACAGCAGACTGAAGGCTGAAGTTTGTCAGAACTTTGATACYAGGGCTGCTCGATTATTGTAAAATTATAGTCACAATTTTTTTTATTGAAATGGAGATCTAAATTATTTAACAAAATTATTCATTCACTTTGAAAACATGAATTTATTGAACATAAACGATGGCTGTTAAACAATGTTTCCCTCAGGATTTCAAATATTTTTGAAAAAATTAGACAAAGTGAAACTTTGGCTGTAGGAGGAGCCTGCAGCATCGTGCTGGCAGTGGCCCTGGACTCACAACACAAAACAGCGTAAGCATAAACTGCGAACTACGATCACTATGCGTTTATGAGCGTTGAAAACCCAAATCATAATCGAGATCAAAATCTGATTAATTGCCCAGCCCTATTTGATACACAAACCACTTCCACACCACTGAATAATAGTCTTTTCTTTAACGGTTTCTTTTGCTTCTTTTTTTTCCAACTGTGAATGCTTGTTCACCCACTGCTGTTGAGCTCATTATGACACAGATATCCACTGTGTGTAGGTAGCGTTGTTAGCATGCTGTAAACAGAGCGGTAGCGCTGAGCTCTGCCTTTGAGCTTGTGGTGTACGTCACGAAGCACTGATGTTACGTATATCGATAGATAGATAGATGGATAGATTTTTAATATTCAAGTCATATCCCCATTATTGAAACGTTCATCACAATCAATATTGATTTATTGTCCAGCACAACCTCTGAATCATACAATCGAACCGGGATGTGCCAAAACTCCTGCTCTTAATTGACCTTACAGATAATAGTGCACATGCTCAATGTCAGTGTTTTGCATTGCATTATGGTCTTGATATATTCATGCTTACTCCAGTTCAGTGAAATACACAGCCTAAGCAATRTTTCAGCTGCACTCTGCAGTCAGTCTGACRTCTGGAATCATTACATATTAGTAACTGTAAAAAGCTGTCATTCCTACCTCTTGTAGAAAATCCTCCAGTAGCCTGGTGAACTTGTCCACCAGCTCATCCAGGAGCTGGGAGCGGGCTATATCTACCCTGTTAAAGATTGTGAACTCCTCGTTGCAGAGAGCGTGGTAAGTCTTCGAGCAGGACTCCAGGACTTCTGTGTCTGTGTGCTTCTCCACAATTTCTTTAATCTGACGCAGCAGAGCGTCCAGATGCTGGACAGGAGAGGGGAAACAAAAATAAACAAAAACAGATTGTGTTTGCTGCTAATGCAGAAAGAAAGAAAAMTATTAATGTTAATAAYGAGCAGTGARCTGATMCAGTTTGYCCTGGGCTTTGTACTRTAATAGAAGGAWAATTGGCTGAGATAACTGAAAATACAAGTTTAACTTGGRCTTTTCTGTGTCRCAAAGCTTCCTTCAAATSTTACGGATGTGCATCACCCTGGCAGCTTAGGATACATTCTCATAAATGTAACACAAATCAGACTTTTTTGACCAGATGGGACTAATCTCATATTTTGTTACCAGTCTGAATATGACCAGTTTTTTTTTTTTTGTAATCCAACCCAGGTATTTTCCATTTGTGGTACTAAATTGGRTACATATTCCATGTTTTTCAATGTAACTGGAGTCTGAACTGTCTTTGATGTCACTAAGGTTGGGGCATACGGATACCAATGCCATGCAGAAGAAAGTCTGGAACTCTGGTTGTCTTCAGCTACAGAACAGAAGTCACACTGCTTCATCTTTTTTAAACTTTCTACATTAGTCACATCCTGGATGACTGAGATTTTAAACAAACATTTGATAGCAAACAAAAAAATGTATCTCTTATTTGCCTTATTTTCTTATTATCTTATTTATTCAATCATATCTTGTGAATTTTATTTAGACCGCCTAGTAAATAAAAATCTGAAATCTTCGTTTTTGTTCAGCGTTCTGAACCCTTCATGTCAGAAACATATCAAATCCTTTTTCTGGTAAGAATTAACTTGATGTTTTCTTTATTTAGTGCAAAAAGACAACAGCCATTCTTGCACCTGACAACATGAACCTTTTTGTATAAATGCACATATATAAGCAGTAATCAACAACTGTTTAATAACTGATTTCAATGTGAGAAGGATAACAAAATTCTACCAGGAATATGCTGAACCTTTGTTCTGCAGATTTTTGATGTGATTGGTGTTTTACAACATCTGTCTCACCTTCTCCAGACGTCCTGTCGTGTAAATCTCCAGGTCAAAGTACTGAGGCAGCTGTAACAAGTTAGTCACCTTCTCTGCATCGACAGCGTACTGTCAAACGAACAATCAACAAATTTCACATTAGCAAAAGCTTATAAAACATGTTTTAAGAAAATCATTAGGTGGATGTATGAAACATACCTTGGCCAGTAGAGGCGGCAAAGCCACAGCAAAAAGCTCTGTTAATCTGGTTCGATCATCCAGCTGAGTCTTTTTCTCTTTAGCTGTCATTACCTGRTCAGGTGATAGATGCGAGTAAGTTAGATGAGTGACCACACGTCTAGATTACATATGCAAAAAACTGTTAATATAGAGTTAAAGGACATCCTGGTTTCTATTTATGGTTTTATGTCATAGTGTAACACGGCTGCCAAACATACAAAATGAAGGAAGTGTAGTTTCTACTTGCATTGTTTKCAAATCAAATATTTAGTGTGATTACAACCAGTTAAATTAGAAAGTTAAAATATTTGGCAGCAAGTAGCGGACTGAGGTACCCTTCAGCCGAAGCTGGAAATCATCATGTGATGAAAACAGTGTCATTTCTGTCGCAAAGCAGCTTCGCCTGCTTCTTCTCAACACAAGGTCCAGGCCAAACCTTTTCCTCACAGGTGATTGCAGTGAGTATTGTATGTTTTGTCAGATGTTTGTGGATGTATTTACTTATGCAGAAAAGCGCTCGGACAACAACGGTGGTTGCTTTCAGAAGCCAGCTGTTGTGCGTCCAGACATGAACAGTTTTGAGAAGCAGTCGTCCGAGGGAAACAGAAAGTACATCCAGCTATAAAACTCTTCCAGACACTTATAGAGGTAGTCAAATGGCTAAAAACCCAAGGATGGATATTACACAGACAGTGAGAAGTGAAGAATCTGTCTGCTGACAAGTGTGGCGCTCTGTGGCAAACTTGTAGCCAAACGGCAGATATTGGAGTGGAGACTCCAGCAGGGGAGAAAAAATGTGCTGTGATGTGTACAGCAGTGGGAGGAGTTTACCAGGTGTTCTGCACCATGTGTCTCATGAACTGTGGAAAACGTGAGAAAACAAATGTCTAACAACCATTTGTCCAACAGAGTCTTTGCCTTTGGRTGGAGTATGCTGAGCCCTTAAATCYTAAATGAGTAATAGATATCTGGACCAGATCTTTGATTGGTTCATCCCTAAAACACATATCACTGAGTTATAAATACATAAAACCACTGCTCAGATCTCAAACAGAATGACAAAAAGTTGAAATACAATAAAAAGTGTACTACTAGCCTTGGTAGGTAATGGCCATTTAAGGTCAAATCTCTTTCTTGAAACTTTATGATTTCAGCCAGTTATGAACTAAATTAATTAAGTCCTGCTCTCACCGGCTCTTCATTGCCACCAGTCTCCATTCAAATTTTGCCTCTTTTTATTTTCTTCTTCCTGTAGATTTTTTACTGCTTGTCAGATAACTTTGAGCCTCAGTCAAAAAGAAGGTCTTGGGGGGTTATATTTTTTCGGTTTAAGAGAAAGATGAGACTGACGATGGACAGCGGTGTTTTTTCCACGAGATTACTGTGCTTCCTGCAACCTTCGACTGCAACAAGCTTCTGCGTCTCTTTTCTTTTCCCCCATAAAAAATGGAGGTTGAAATCACGTGAATGAATGGCATCACGGYGACTTCGAGAATGGTGGATGTTCAAGATTTCTTTGTAAAATATAACTTTATAATGAACGGTTTATAGTTTATTTGCAAAAAGTAGGTTAACAATGTATGTTATACTGTATGTATGAGTGGATGACTGGGAGATACTGTAAATTATTTTCACAATAACTGACAGAATTTATCTATGTGCATGGAAAATACATAATACCCTCCACTTTAAAGCAACCCCAGTACAGTTGGGAAGTTAAAGTGAAAACCATCCTTACCCTCTTGCCTGTTCCTCTTCCAACAGGTGGGTGGCATTCAGCAGCCTGACGTACAGTGCACAGCATGATTTCAATCAAAGCCGTTTCTTGTCTGTCTGTAAGAGCTAAACAAACATTAAACAATAAGCATCATCTTATATTTATGTTCACAAACTGCATACACGTGACAGTGGCTTGGMTGAAAGCAGGGTCATACCTTCCTCTCCTGGCAATGGGTCATCTAGCAATAAGCTGATCATACACTCCCAGTCTTTCAGTAGCTCTGCACCACATTCCCAGAGGGAGTCCACCAAGTATGCTGCATGCTCATGGAGCTAAAAGGAAACATTCATCCAGATGAAAGAGAAATGACTGACGTAGCTTGCGCAAAGAAAGTATGAATGAAAAAATCATGCTGAAAGGAGAACAAAAGTACCTCGCTCTCAAGGAAGAAAAAGACGGTGGTCTTAATGAGGTTGGCGTTGGGACTTTGTCTGCCTCTTCTTTTAGGAGCACCTTCCTCCTCTGGTTCTCGCTGGCTGAACAATCTGTGTCRTAGAAACCGTAGTATGTAACAACCTCCAATACATCATCGAGCAATTTAACTATCACAAAAACAAAAAAAGGTCTGACGTACTTCTTATACAAGAATTCTCCTGCTGCGATTGCGACCGGCCTGTGTGCCGAGTAGACTAAGTGGTAGACGCTCTCACAGTCCTCGGGGGTCAAAACCTCATCTGTACTACTGCAGAGACAAACACACAGTGTTACTGAGGGGAGGGGGGGCTGAGGTAATTCATAATGTTCTTGATGAAAACACTTCGATCCAACCACATGTGATTAAACACGTCTGTAATTTACTTACTTTAAGACTAAAGTGAGCAGTTTAATAGCTTGTACTGCAACATCATACTCCTTATCAAGAGTCATGGAGACAATACGGTCCTGAGAGAAAGAGAGAAAAAATGTTCAGTTTAATGAAAAGCATCTTTACATCACAATAAAACCCTGCAATGTATTGCATCATCAATGTAAGTCTAGTTATCTTCATCAGGCAGAAGACAAATAAATTGCAACTTATGTTGAAGTTGTCCAGCAGGTGGAGCTGACCTTAAAGCGACTGGTGAAGAGCTCCAGTCTTGCATTGAGCTCCCGGTTGTAATAGAGGCCCTGCAGAGCTGTCAGACACTTCAGACGTACCTCTCCTTGCTGCAACCAAAGCAGAAAGCGGTGAATTTGGTTTATTATTGTCTCCAGCAGCATCTGCATTTTTGGAATCTACAGAGTTTGTTGACCAATGTCACGAGTTTTGCTAAACAAAAAATGTTAGAAGTAATTTAAAAAAAAGCATCAAAACATTCAGCTGCATACAAATGTTGTGTCTGAGGGTCAAATATTCAACTTACTCTGTTTCTAGACATTAAAAGTAAAAGTGCACAGCAGCTCCTCCTTAACAGTGTTTATAAATATGAGTTTTAAAATAAGATTATTCCCTGTTAATATTTTGACAACCTTACAAATGACATGCAAAAAAAAAAAAAGAGTATTAGAAATGTTATTATACGATACCTTATCATGCATTGTCCACCCCACATACTTCAGATAGCTGTCATTGAGGAAGGCATCACTGTACAGTTTCATCCACACTCCAATCTCCTCTATACAGATCGCCCGGATTTCTGCTATCGAATCCCTGTCAGAMCATAAGTACTTGTTAAACTAAAAGCAATATTTATTAGCAGCATCAACAACAAAGAATAAGTGTTTGGGTCCTCCCTCTAACATATATTTGTTATGTGAAGTCATACCGATATCGATGGACAAACACTCCTTTGAAAATTGCATTCATCATRTTTTCAATTTCATCCTGATTTTCTTGAAGCTGAAAACAAACAGAAAGAAATGGTCAGAAATGCATTTAAACTTAYCATAAAAATCACAGTACAGCCAACTATGCGAACATGCTGTGGTGCCTCTGCAGAATAAACATATGCCTGGTTCTACCTCGTTACATAAACTGCAAATACTAGCAGAATAACACCTAACACCCACAGATGTTATTTTTAATATTGAGAAATTATACCTAATAAATGTATGCTCATGTGCAAAGACCAAGACCCTGTTTACATGAGTAATCTCTGGAAACATTAGTGTTTTGTTATTAATTGTGGAAAAGTCACACATTTACACAGGTAATGCAGTGCCTGTTCCATGCCAGGACTCTAGCAGGCGCTGTGATTTTTGTACTTCAACACACACGTTTGTTCTTCTATCCTCATGGGGACAGTACAGGCCACTGTACTGTACTGTACAAATTGACTTCCATTCATTTACTGGTCAGTCTAAGCCTGAAACCAAACCCTAACCGTAACCACACCAGATGCCTGACCAAAAGCCTAACCTAAACCCAATTCACACGTTAATCCTAACCCTAACCCACCAACAGTATTTACCCCAATGGGGACCAGGTTATTGACCCCATAAGGAACAGTGTGRGTCCTCACCAGGTTGGGTGGGAACAAGGAAAATGGTCAAAAATGGTCCCCACCAGGTAGCATATACATGTATATACACAAACTTTAGATTGCTCCTAGGTGAGTAATACAAACGCCAATCTGCTATCTTTATTGTTGTTTATCTGCTCATCCAAGCACAGGTAATAAGTTTTTATTGGCTGCAGCCGTCTGTAGTACACACGCACGATTTCACATCGATGCTGGGTGTCAGAGAAAATGCTCGCTGTTGTTGTGTGCACAAACAACCAAAATGCAGCAGAAACAGTGACGTCTAAACAGGGACAAGAGGTTAAAATGTGAAACAAATAATGGTTGATACAAGAATATAAATTTAAAATTTGGAAAATGTACATTTTGTCAGCTAAATTATTATTTTTTATTATTATTTAAAAATGATTGTGACAGAAGACAATCAGTATACAATAAAATAATATAAAATAATAAAGCAAGAATAAAACAAATCACTTGGAATTTTACTTTACTGAAACTTGAAGTCTTTTGAAAATATTCTTTATAACACTGCACCGCACTGGTTCAAAACAGAGCAACACTTTATCCAGTTAAATAAGCTGAACTGATACAACACATTTTGAAACAGATTCATTGATCTCTTTAATGGGGTACCTTATGGTCATTTAAGGGGCAGATTTTTTTCTTCACTCTGCACCCTTTTCAAACAGAACTCCTTTTTTTACTTTTATTACTATGTGTATATTTTGTGTTCATTTTGGGTGAAATAAAAAAAATCTTTTAAATATTTCAGGATTAATTCTCGTTTACAAACWAGGTTTAGGCAAAATCATACCATGTGAAATTAATCATCAGAAAAACTGTCAACAACTATATTTACCACTATCCATATATGGTATTTGGAGCTATGTGATAATTTATTCTTGTGTGCGTCACACTGTCACCATCAGGCGTGCATGTGAGTCCAGTGGCAGAAGGCAGCGCAGAGCAACTAATGCTAACCCTAACCCCCCAAACTTGTTTTATCACCTGAAACACTGACATAAACCAGAGTATGAGGAAAGCCAGAAAATGCAGACCAAGGCAACAAAGTTGGCTACATGCAAGTAGGGCTGCCATGATTAGTCGACTAGTCACGATTACGTCGACTATTTTAATTTAATAGTCGATGCATCGTTTTTTTGTTTTTATTTTAACTTTTTTTTTCTCCCCAAACTGCTGCGACATCTTCCACTTTCGCGTCTGCCTTTCTGTCCTTGACACGCATGCGTAGTAGTGGTTAGGCAGCGTGCACGCATGCGCAGTAGTGGGTAGGCCGCAAGCGGACGCGTTTACACAGACAGACTTGGATCATGGCTACCCGACAACGGAGCTCAAAAGTGTGGGATCATTTTAAGAAAACGACAGAGAAGTGTGTTCAATGAAATATCTGCAAGGTGGAACTTGCCTTCCACAGCAGCACAACTGTGATGCACGAGCACCGGAAAAGGAAGCATGTTGTGGCTGATGAAGACGGACCGTCATCTCGGTAAGCTAAATTGCTAGTTGGCTACTTAAATAAGCGTAAACAGAGAGTTAACTTGCTACTTACTCATATTGATAGCTGTTAAAGTTAACATTAGCGAAGACGATTTGATTCATTAGCCTTAGCACACGTTTCATGTGTTTTCTGTAACGTTATAACAGTGATGTGTTAGAAAAGAAATGCTAATGTTTTCTAATGTTATGTTTCAGTGCTAAAAAAGTACATTAGTCTTCTTCAATGGACGGCTTTGTTATAAAGCCAGCTACATGCACACCTCAGCAAGCCAATGTCCTGACTGAGTCCATTCTGAAGACGCTGGTGACGGACATGAGACCACTATCCATGGCAGACGATGAAGGATTTAAAGACATGATTAAACATTTCAACCCAGATTATCATGACAACTAACCTACCAGGCAGATCTCACTTCACCACACTGATGGAGAAGAAATTTTGTGCAACTTTTGAAAAAGTCAATCTCTCTTTCTTTCTGTTTCAATTT